CCCCAAAACCCCAAAACCCCAAAACCCCAAAACCCCGAAATATTTTATTTTTATTGAATTAATAACCATAATGTTCTTTGACCCAGATCACCAGAAGCCAAAAATTAGTAAATTCACCAAGAATGCAATGAAGTTTCGTGAAGACCTTTACATTGGAGTTTCAATTGTCGAAAAGATTTTAAGAAGGACCCATTTATTAGCTTATAGTAGAGATATGGATCAGTATGTTCAACCTTATGCGACTGAACTATTTTTATATCATTTGAGGGACCAAATATGAGTTATGTATACTCCTTACAACATTAATATTGATTATCCTCCAAACCATGAACAAATTTTTTCATCTCAAATGTGAGCCTCAGGAATAATCAATAAGATCATGAATTCTCCTGAAGGAAAACGCATGAACTATTTATTGCATGATGAAGAAGACGAAGAGCCACAGCCAGCTTTAATAGATAGGCAAGCTGGGTTCAACCTCCCTCGCAAAGATCATTCATGAATTTTAGAAATAGAAAGTAGCGAAGAAGAGATTGTTGTAGAAAATGATAAGAAGAAAATATCTGTAAATAAAAGGGCAGCTCATCTCAAACAGCCTAAAAAGCGCCCTCTGGCAGTAGAACTGCCGTCTGAAGAAGGGCTTCAGCTAAATGATAACGCAATAGCCATGAAAGATCGCATCCTTGAAGAAAAATAGGAAAATTCAAGAAGAAAGAGATAGGAGAGACCATCAAAAGAAAATTGATAGACTTATGAGGAGGCAGATCATTGAGAGGAATAAAGAACTTGCTAAAAAGAAATACACCTATGATTTCAATGGAAATTTTCTTTTTATAAAAAAGCTAAATGGTGACAAGTTGCCCAAGAAGACCATAAATTTACCCTATAAATGGCATTTGACAAACCAAGAGTTGCTAGAGTTAGAACAAAATGAAAAGAAGAAGAAAGCAGCTTCTAGGACTTTGTATGTTAAAGATAAACCAAAACCTAAACCGCAGAAGTTATATAAGTTACCCCAAAGCTTCTCTAGCACAATCATACCATCGAAGTTTGAGTATTTAAAGAATGGGAACTATGATGTAATGAAACCTCAAGTGGGAGTCACTTTAGTACAAAATGGGAAAAGAAAAAAATCCCAGCCAATACGAACCTCTCCAAAAAGTAGTCTCAAAGATGATAGAGTAAGCTTTTAATGACAAATTATAGTCGTCCATCCAAAAAGATATCAGTATAGATGATCTTGATGAATATACTGCAACATTAAAAATGCCTGATTTTGAAGAAATTGATCCAATTTTCCATACTCAACCAGATAAAATTTTAACTAAAATTAGCAGTGATCATCATGTAAGAGTTGTAGACAGAAAAGCTGTTAAATGGATGATTACGACTCCAGACAAAAATACTCCCTTGAATAGGACTTCTAAAAATTCTGGATGCAAATCCAAATAATCCAAAAATAAATATAGCAAATCTACAAGTAAATCCAAGAGTAAATACAGCAAATAAAAGTGGTTTCCGACATAACTTAAGAACCAATAAAAGTCATAAGCATCTTTCCAGAAGAAGTTCTCGGAAAAGCTTTACTGAACGATTTGAAGAGGCAGATATCCTTTCAAAAATTAAAAATCCACACACCAAAGTTGTATACCAAGCAGCTTTTGGGTTAAACTGGGGTCAAGAAAGAGGAGCTGGACCTGGATTATCAGAAAAAGAGCTCGCTAAAAGACCTAAAAGTAGGCAAATAGGAACAAGTGTTTCTGCCAGAAATCTACTTCATAGCCAAAGAATAAACCTCAAAACACAAAACAATAAAAAGAGAGTTGCATTGCCTCAACCTCCGATTGGTCAGACGATCGGACACGGACTTATTACTAAATATGATTTATAAAAGACTCAATATAAACATCGAATCGCGGGGTTTTGGGGTTTTGGGGTTTTGGGGTTTTGGGG